TGACAGATCCTGAGGTCAAGAAAAGCATACTCGTTAATGCTACTACAGTAGAAGAAACCACTGATGCAATGCAACAAATAACAGAATACTTCTCTTCCTGGATACGGCTAAAGAAGGCAGTGGCGTGGTTCATTCGAATCAAAGGAGCCCTGGTAAACCTGTCAAAGAAGAGGAAAGAAATGAATGAACGACACAAGGACCAAGAACAAGTGAACAAAGAAATGACACGCTACAAGAGGAGTCTCAAACAGACTTACCTGACTGTTGACAATCTGCGACAAGCTGAGCTGGATATCATCCGCCATTGTCAACAAAAGAAGTTCCAAGAGGAAATCGCTGCTCTGCAGAGAAAAGAGCCTGTCAAGAAGAGTAGCCGAATCTTCAGACTGAATCCGCAACTTCAAGAGGGAATCCTTCGTGTTGGAGGGAGGCTCAGTCGAGCATCTATGCCAGCCGAAGCCAAGCATCCGATGCTTCTGCCTAAAGACCATCGAGTGGCTGATCTGATTTTCCAGGATGCGCATGAGCGGCTAGGACACAGTGGACGCAATCATGTCTTGTCTTATGTGCGCCAAAGATACTGGATTATCGACGCCCCCTCAACAATCAGGAAAATGCTGTCTCGCTGCACTACCTGTCGAAGACAACATGGTGCATCAGGCACACAAATTATGGCGGACTTACCAAGAAACAGAGTTGTTCCGGACGAACCACCTTTTACCAGAAGTGGAGTGGATCTGTTTGGACCATTCAGCGTAAAACGAGGAAGATCATTGGTAAAGAGGTATGGGGTCATATTTACCTGTCTCGCAAGCCGTGCAGTCCACATTGAAATGGCTACGTCGCTGGAAACAGACTCCTTTATTCACGCTCTGCGTCGCTTCATCGCAAGGAGGGGTCAAGTGAAGGAAATGCGATCTGATAACGGGACTAACTTCGTTGGAGCTGACCGCGAGCTCAGAAAAGCCATAAAGGAGTGGAATACCTCACAGATTGAGAACAGCTTGCTCCAACGTGACATCAAATGGATATTTAATCCTCCATCCGGATCACACCACGGAGGGGTGTGGGAGAGGATCATCCGTTCCATCAGAAAGATCATGGTCGCCACCCTGAGAGAGCAAAACTTGGACGAAGAAGCTCTCCGAACGTTCTTCTGTGAATGTGAGGCCATTCTAAACAGTAGGCCTATCACTTTGCCTTCGAATGATATAAACGATCTGGAAGCTCTCACCCCTCAGCACTTGCTGCTGCTAAAGACTCAACCCAACTTACCACCGGGACTCTTCCAAAAAGATGACAACTACGTGCGTAGAAGATGGAGGCAAGTCCAGTACATGAGTGATCTATTCTGGAAGCGCTGGACTAGGGAGTACCTGCCTCTACTCCAGAAAAGACAGAAATGGAACCATCCATCACGGAACTTCATCCCGGGAGATGTAGTCTTGATCGTTGATGAGTCAGCACCTAGGGGATCATGGCTGCTGGGAAGGATCGTCAAGACTATGGAGGATGAGCATGGAATGGTCCGCAAGGTTCGAGTCAAGACAAAAACTAATGAGCTTGAGAGACCAATAACTAAGCTCTGCTTACTTCAAGAAGCAGTATGAGAAGGACTGTTACTCACCTGATTGAGACTGTTAATTGCCTGAGTGTTACTCAGAAGAAAGACATTATACAAAACAAAAGAAAAGGGACATTGTTCTTATAAGTTGTAATTGTTTCTGCCCTAGAAAGCAATTAGGGGCCGGGTATGTAGAGGCGGAAGAATAGTTCATGGTTATGAATACAGTTAACATGATTGAAATGTGTTAAAAAAGATAAATAAGTTGACAGTATAAAAATATAGGATTTAATGATACATAATTTCATTTATAAGTTCATATTGTGGTCAAAATGTTGAAAATATGCTAAAATTCATCTTTCATGTGATTTGGTAAATGTTTTTATAACAGGGCTGCTTCCCCTTTAAGACCGCACGTGCGTCTGTTTTGGTGGACACAGAGATGATTCAGTCGGTGCTTGGAGCTGGAGAAGCACACGGTTTTCTTACCTGCTACAGCTACTGCTACTGCTACTGTTAAAGTTACACCAAGTGTATTAGTGTTAGTCAGCTCCAGTCTTCATAATTTTGTGGATCCTTGGATACAAGAAATAAACCAGAAGATTTTTTTATATTTTTTCTTTACCACAAAAACGTTTCCAGAGTGGATTTTGTTGACCTGTGTAGCTGGACTAGCGGCAGACACTGCCTGTGGAAGTAACTAAGTGCCAAGCTGAGTAAGCCATTGCAAGTTACCAAGCACTAATTCAAACCTCTACATATACAAACCAATAGAATTTGACCACGGCATTTTTAGTCATGACTTGATGAAATATCTGTGATCAAACAGCCTCCGGAAATGCTTATTTTGAGATGTAATAGCCCCCATCTTGAAAACCGGTGGCCATATTGGAATTGAATTGACATCATTGAGTTCTTCTTGTCAGAAAACACTCATTTTGATCTTTGATCATTAACACATTTGTGTTTGTGGCTACCCGATCCATCCCAGAAACACGATTTGTACTGCGCATGTTCGAAACGGACGTCACTTCCTCTCTACCTATTTCAATGCATTTTACGGCAGTCTGTGTGGTTCGCCAGCAGGGTATTGCCGCAGACCTGGGCTGTGTCTCATTTCAGAGACTGTATCAGGAACCAGGTTGTCCATCTTATATACAGTCTATGGTCACAACTGACTTGAAGAAAAGCTGCGAGGCACAGCAGTTATTTTTTCATTGTGCGACCTTGCACAGACACAAAACAATAGATACATACAAGCACAGATCATTCCAATAAAACTCATCCAATGATTGTTTTGTATGAAGGAGTATAAGGGCCATATTGAGAATTTTTTCAAAGACTTCGAGATTTAAGTCGTGAATATACGAGAATAAAGTCATTAATTTATGATAATAAAGTCATAAGGTTACCTATTATTTCAAAGGAGAGTTGTTAAAATTAGGGCCATGAAATATTTAATACTCATAAGTATAAGAACTTTAAAAAGAATATATGAGAAATACGTCTTTTCCAAAGGGAAAAAAAAACAGGTGTACTTGGAGGAAATCGTTGCTTCTGTGGAGGCAGAAATGGATATGCTGAGGATAAATCTGTCAATGCAGCCGTAAATATCTGTGAATGACATTGAGCTTTAGTTCATGATATGAATCCATATGCCATAATAAGGTGTTGGTGTCTCTGCAGGTGTAGGTTACCACCGGTGTCAAAGACGTGGTGCTCGACTCCCTCTGGATCACAAATGTTGATTATCATCAGTTAGATTGTTTCTTCAGAAACCACAAAAACTCTCTGAATAACCTGCTGATACATCCACAGATAACCCTGCAGATGACCAGCTTCAATCATTTCCCCCTCCACAAAAGCAGCTTTATGACTTTATTTACTTTATGACTTTATTCTCCTAAATTTACAACTTTAATCTCTTATTCTTAAAAGAAAAAAAACTCAATGTTGTCCTGATACTCTGCCGTAGTTTTGTCAGCTTTCTTATTTCTAATGTTTTTGATTGTTGTAGCAGAGCGGATCAGTTCGTCTCTAAATCTATATAATGTTTGGTTTACAGATTTTAGTGAGTTCAGAGATCATGCGCTCATACAGCCTGAGCTGACTGTCTGCTGTTTTTGGATTTCTTGTATTTTCTTTGAAGACGCGCTGTGTCTCCCAGCGAGTCGAGCCTCTCACCCGAAATGCGCAGCTGTGCAGCGGCACGCAAAGAATTCTGTGATACCAACGGCACGAAAAACGTGCATAAATGCACGCTTGAAAAATGCTAAGCCAGGGTGTGTCCGAAATGGCATACTGCCTACTATCTACTTACCTACTCAAGCAGTAGCTACTGCCTACTGACTACTCAAAGATGATTTGAGTATGCCGCGGCTGCCCGAGCGTTTACATACAGATGCATACTAAATACCCCAGAATGCATTTCGTGCCGGCCGGACGCAGCGCCGGGAAAATTTATATAGTCCTACCACAAGCTACACAGAACGACTGCATTCTGGACAAATTATATAAATTCATTCAATAATAATATTTTTTTCTAGCGAGAAAGCAAGTGTTTACATCACGATTATGAGCCCAGTTGTTTGAAATAGTGGCTGTTTGTAAATTTGTCTCGGCGTTTTCGGAGACCGAAGCGTCCACTTGGTGGGTGTTTGCGTCTATTTACCGTAAACACCGGGCAGCAGCAGCTCCCCCTTCACGTTTCCAAATTATTGCGAAGTGTTTTCATAATCAACATCTACACGACACAAACCGGGCGGCAGTGGATGAAAAAAATCACACAAACATCTGTGTATCCATGGTGATAATGCTATACACCACCTGCTAGGCGTGTGATGAGCAGCAGAGGGCTGCAAAATGACCAACACACAACATAATTATTATGACCTCGTTCGGTTATTCCTTGGCAAATACATCATTTCCCGACGACATTCTTTCATGTACAATGATCATTTCAGAAACCATCAGATTTTCAACCACAAGTAAGAATTAGTAAAGCTCACATGCATTGTCAACTGGAAATTCCCCCGTTTGTATATTCTGAATCATGTGCTCTCTACCAATAATAATTCTTATTAATCAGAGGTCTGTGCTTAATATGAGCGACCACTTTGATGATGCATTCAGAGATGAGAAGATGCTCAAACTTGATGTAATAAATACATCTTTAATAGACACTTAAATAAATAAAGTCAATTCATACGAATAGTTAAAAACATTACCTATAATCCTAATTTAAAATACAAATAAATCTGGTAAAAAGATCAAAATATGATAAAATGATAAAAATTGTGTAATTTATACTGACTAAATATTGTTTATCTATTTATATATATATATAATTATTATTGCAATCACATGCCATCTATCTCTTTTCAGCCTCGGGAAAGAGGGCCATATTACCAGCTGAGGTGCGCAATGCATTGTGGGGCAGAAGCAGTACGTGAAGCAAGCTCCGTTCCACACTCAGAAATCGAAGCCGATTGAGTATACATCCGGGCATTTCTCGCATACACAAAATTCGCATACTGTACAGTGTGAACGCACTGCCTACTCAATTCAGAGGCGGGGTTAGTAGGAGTAGTAGGAGTAGTATGCCATTTCGGACACAGCCCCTATCTTCTGGTTGGCTGGTTCAGGAGAGCTCCACCTCTTCCGGGGGAATGTTGATGAACGCCGCTCTGACCGGTTAAAGAGGAACACCACCGAGACGGAAGCAAAAATGATCAATTGGAAGGTAAAGTCGACTTTAACTTGCTTTAATTTAAACATTCTTACCCCTCTGCGAAAGTCGGTGACACCAATACCGATCTTTAGTCAGCCGGTTTTGGCAGAAAGCTAATGTTGCAACAGGACGGTGTGCCCTTCGTTACCTCCGCGATTCAGCCGGCTGCACCGTGTGTGCGCATGTGTGTTATTTGTATCCGAAATAATAATATTCAGATCAAAAGGATTTCTTTTTTTGTGATATTAATGTTTGAAATGTTAGCTGAGTATCAGAGGCTTTGAGGCGTTCAGGGAAACTCTGACAACTTTCAAGCTGGCTCAAAAACCTCGGAAGAAATTGTCGGTGTTAAGATGAAGTTGGTGCACATGGCTGCAGCTGTTCCTCCATTTCAACCTGAGTGTAACTTTAACACTCCACACTAACCCATCCCCCCAACCCCCAAAAAGGCCACCACCCTCATCACACCCGGATACATGACTCTCAGTCCTCTTCGGACAGTTTAGGGCAGTGACTGCTGCAGAGCTTCCTCTCCCCTCATCCATGTCATTCCACAGAGATCTTTCTTTTGTCCTCAGGCTCTGGACAATGTCCCCATCCTGCTCTACATCCTGGCCCTGAAGACACTTCTGCTGTGTCTGGCCTTCGCTGGCGTGAAAATCTACCAGAGCAAGAAAGCCGAGGAGGCGTTGAAGAAACAGCAGGATGAGAGAAGGAGACTTATCCAGAGAACACAGAAGCTGTTAGATGGCAAGAAGGATGACTAAGATGGAGACACTTAGGGACAGATATCACATGGTGAGTCATTCAAGGACACACAGAGATGGTAATAAATGAACTTTTACTTGTGACTGAGTCTGTGGACTGAAAGCTGAAAGTTTGCATTCTGGCTTACTAGATTCTTAGTCAAGATTCTGAGTTCACCATTGAGCTTTTAGCTTTAGGTATGGTTTTGGTTTTACGTTTTAGTTCAAGGTTTAGACTGTAGGTTCAGTGTTGAAGTTTTGGGTTCAGGATCAAGGTGAGGGTTCTGGTTATAGAATTTAGGTACTGGGTTCAGGGTTGGGGTTAAGGTTTAGTGTTTTTTGGTTGACGTTTTGGGCAAAGGGTTTAGGGTCTAGGTTTCGAGGTTTTGTTGAAGTTTTGGGTTAAGGATTTTTAATTCTGGCTTCTGGGTGTAGAGTTTAGTATTTAGTTCTGGGTTCAGGGTTATGGGTAAGGTTGCGGGTTCTAGGTAATAAAACTGACTTGTCACAGAGTGAACACTTAGGGGACGCTGGTTGAGGTGGAAAAAATCACAATGTAATGATTTTAAAGACAGATGATCAGAAAGCCTTGAAAGAAGTTCTTCCATTTTCATTTTTTAAATTGATATTAATGTTAATGTATTTTTTTTCCTCTTTAGGACACCTGAGACTGTCTATGAAGAAGCTCTGGACTATTTGCTTTCAGGTTTTTATGTTCATACATTTTTATGCATGTGTGTGTGTGTGTGTGTGTGTGTGTGTGTATATATATATACATACTTGCTTGTGTGTTAATATCTCTATGTAACCATATTCAAACATGTTGAACCTGTAAGGTTCATGTCTTTTATCTTCAGTATGAATCTGGTCTGTCAGTATCTGATATGTCGGTTGTTTTATAGAGCCTCTTGAAAAGATTTATAAAAGCTGTATATGAAGCACCGTCATTTTTTAATTATGTTGAACTTTCTCATGTTTCCGAAGTTTCTCTCTATATAAACAAGTACCCTTTTCTTTCTGTGTGTCTTTGATCTTTGGCTGAAAATCTGTCAGCTTCTTCTTGCTCTGATAGGAGAAATTCTGACACTTTCTGTGCACACAGTGTTTATTTATTCTGATTGTTTGAAAACTGTGTGTCAGATTTTTGAATTTATAATAAACTATTCACAATGTTTAAGTGGTCAGTGATCATCTTTATTTCCTCAATCTGATTTACTGTCACAGAGCCGCCAGAGAGAGCACAGTGCATCAATTCAGCACAGAGCTCATCATGTTAGACAGGAAATCTTGTACAAAATAGGAAATAAAACACCAGGTTTATTTTCAAAACAAAATGCATCATGTTTATGGCGGATCACATTTTCCTCACTACAGGTCTGAAGTACAGGTTCCAGGTTTAGATACAAAGTTTATTGTGACTTTGCTACTGTTGTGTGGGCTAACAAATTAATAATCTTTTTGTATGATATGGATTCATTGGGTCTGAAATAAAGTTTATAGATAGTAATTTCAGCATGTAGGTAACCTGTGTCTGAAATATTACCATCTTGATCATGTCATGTTGACAGTAGTTTGTTGACACAAAAGAAATGGCAATTGCATATCACTTACACCTACACAGGACAGCCGTTAGCTTTCTATTAGTTCTTTGTTTTTTAATTTTACATTAATTTCCATATTGTATAAAGGACTGGAAAAAAAATGGAGCCCCTGCCCCTGTATAATCATGTGCACGTCCCTGTCCTGGCTCCAAGGTGAATCTTTACTGCTCATGTTCTCCTCAGAAGCATTCACCTCACTCCCCTAAGGTGACTGTACACATGCAGCAACTGCCTGATTCAGGTTTAGATGGCGCTTCATGGTTGTCTTCTGGAGAAATGACAAGCCAAGTTGTGTTTGAAATTAATTTTTTTCTAGGGCAAAAGGAAGCCTAAGCATTCCTGTTGGATATGTAAATAGCATGTTTTTGCAGGTGTGTAAAAACTGACTGTGTGTGTGTGTGTGTGTATCTTGCAGTACTCTGAGGAGAATGAGAAGCATGTTTCTGAGGTGAATTTTGAAGATTCATCTGAGAGTCAGGAGGATTGATTATTCCCAACAGAAGGATCCTTTAGCTGTCTATGTGTATTTTTGTGTGAAAATCAAAGAATCCCAGGTCAAGAGGGCTCTGTTGATGTTTTTTCTTCCTCATTCATATTCAAACCACTATTTTATATCAGTGCTAATATACCAAGACCATTTTATGGTGTTTAGCTTTGTTATTTCTATGCATTTTGTGAGGTAAGAAACCCAGACCTTCACTGAAATTTCCCCAAAACTTTATGTAATGGCCTCTGGTTGTTAAAGGGGGTCATTAAACCTAAAACACATTTTCCCAAGATGCTCCGAGGGTAAAATGAGTTGGAATTTGTTTGAAAAATTGAATAGTGCATTAATAATGAAAACGAGTTAAAAGCAGGAAAAATCCTGAATACACCCCATAAAGTCCTCACTGAGCAGATTCTTTGGAGCTATGAATGGTTTCTGTAGCTCACAAGTTTGTGGGAGGAGATAGCTGCCAAAGTTTGCCAAAGTGCTCCAGTGTAGGATTTTAAATGTTACCCCAGTACTCTGTGTACCGAGCCTGGCTTCATTTTTCTCATATGGCTGTTAATAGCAGCTTTCCAGTCAGCTGTGTGTCTCCAGGTGCACTAATTGGTTGCCTTGGCAAAGATTGATGCATCACTACAGCAGTAGAAAGGAGGCTTGAAGCTAAGGAAGAAGAAAAAAAGTGGTATCTGGCATGCCGCTTAGGGCAGATTGGCATGCCAGATACCACTTTCCATTCTCGGCACCACTGAATAATTGTGCCCTGCCATGTAAGCCTATTTCATATGCCTCCCAATAGCCCGAGGTCTAGTGATGTGTCTGAGTCTGTGTGGTGGAACTGTTGAGGAGTTCATTCATAAAGTGCATCTGTATTTGGGGTGTCAGTCTTCATGGTTGTTTTCTGTTGGTCAGTCAGTCTGCATTTTTGTCAGGGGTCAGTCTTCATGGTGGATCCATCAGTTTTCAGGGTTAAAAAAATGTTTAAAAAAATGTCAGGGTTTGTTTTCATAATTGTTCAGTTCATAGTAGTGGACACTAGAGAGCAGCAGAGCTTATGTATCTGACGGTGATTCAGACAGGACTGTCCAGACTCTGTAGACTCTTTATCTAACAGATCATCAGAATAAAAGAAACATGTGAGACCCAAAATACTGTATTAATTTTTTAGAACTTTTTCTGATGATCAAAGTCTGTCATTTTTTTCTACACCAGAAACTCAGAGGATCCCCAACTGTTTTGGTTCAACCTGAGAGCACAAAGGATGAATGATGACTCACCTGTCTAACCCTCTACAGTCTGAATTGTGATAGATGGCATACCCTTACTCTGTATGGATTGGAAAACAGTTGTGACATTTAAAAAAATGTAATTTAACATACTGAGTTCTTATTTCAAGAAAACTGTTTTTAAAAAAAATATGTGTTTTTTAAGGAATTTCCTTCTTTTAAACGTCACTGCTCAGGAAGTTTTATCTGAAAGATGTGTTTTCACGTACCAACTTTTTTTTTCTCCTTTAGTGTCTTTGCGGAGTTGATGCAGACCACTAAGATAGTAATGGTGGTGGTAGTGTTGATGATGAGGGTCTGCTGGACCCACCCCCTCGCTTAACATCAGGGTTGGGGTCTTTCTGAATGACAGGGTGGACAGCGGCTGTTGTTTTGCTGATTCTCTCTCTGACCTTAGGTCACATACACACTGGGCTGTTTTGATCAATAGTGATGAACATGTGAAACGTGTACAACAATAAGTCTTCATCACACTGTACGGGGGGGAAGGGTATACATAACCAGATCTGTGTCATTAGGACAATACTTTATGCTGTGCCATCACACAGCTACTTAATATAAAAGGCCAGGGGTACAGAGAGCCTCCATGGAGCGACAGTCTGCCCCCACCAATGAACAATGGGAAAGGTGAGCCAACGTGTTTCTGAAATACAAAATAAAACATGAAGTATAATCCAAATGAATGTCATCACCACTGACTCTTGAAACTCTTAAAGAACTTCTTCACAAACTTTTTCAGATTATATTCTACGAAGACAGGAACTTCCAGGGTCGCCACCATGAGTGTGTCAGCGATTGTGCTGACCTCCACCCATACTTTAACCGCTGTAACTCCATCCGGGTGGAAAGCGGCTGTTTTATGGTGTATGAGAGGCCGCACTATCTGGGCCACCAGTACTTTCTGCGCCGGGGCGAATACTCTGACAACCAGCGCATGATTGGCATCAACGACTGCATCCGCTCCTGCCGCATGATCCCTGTGGTGAGTTTGAGACAAAATACACAGATTCATTAGAAATAAAACTGTTATATAAATATCAGTGATCAGGAATGAATAATCAAGCCACAGAGTCAAAATAGGACCAAATGCATCAGATAAATAACCTTATTTTATTTTATTTTTTTCCTGTAAAGCACTTTGATAGGCCACTGGCTATTCAAATAAAGATGACCTTGACATTGATTCACTTATTACACTTATTACACGTAAAACCATTGTAGGGGTTTTTTTTTTCAGATATGGGTTTATCCCCCTCAACTGAGACAGTCAGTGATCGAATAGTCATTTAGAGGTCATTTGTAGTTAAATATAAAACTTTCAAACATTTTTGAAAATCAGAGTCTAGGTGTATTTATGGTCTTACACAGTCTTTGAACAGTCATTTAGTCATTTAAACAGACAGATATAGTAGCTAAGACGTAAGCTATGAAAAACAAGGCAGGGAAATTTAAGTATAAATAGATAAACCTAGCTGCGTGGTGGAGCAGTAATATTTCCTCACAGCAGGAATGTTTCTGGTTTGAATCCCTGGCCAGACACTCTTTGTATGCTAATGTCAAGTGTCTTTCTGCTCTTTGACTGTTGAGTGTCTCTTTGACCACTGAATGCTAACTGACCTCCTGACCTTTGAATGCCAAGAGACCGTCTGACCTTTGAATGTTTGAGCATCTCACTGGTTTTTGAATTTTGAGTTCCTGACCAACTTTTGAATACTGTGTCCTGCAGCATCGAGGTTCCTACAAAATCAGACTGTATGAGCGTCCTGACATGAGCGGACAGATGCAGGAGGTTAGCGATGACTGCCCCAATGTGCAGGACCGCCTGCGAATGTCTGACATTAACTCATGCAATGTGGTGGATGGCCACTGGCTGCTGTACGACCAGCCCAACTACAGGGGCAGGACCTACTACCTGAGGCCCGGGGAGTATCGCAGGTACAGCGACTGGGGTGGAGCCAGCCCAAGGATTGGCTCGCTCAGGCGAATCACCGACTTTAACTAGACGCTTCTGAACCTCCTTCTTCTTCTGTTCTGTTCTCAATAAAGATGCTCAGGTTAAACAGTGTTTGTGAACTTTTTTGTGTTATTATTATTATTATTATTATTATTATTATTATTATTATTATTATTATTATTATTATTATTATTATTATTATTATTATTATATCATCTCTGAGCCATTAAGTCTGAACCAAACTAAACACAGTTTGAAGCAGATGTCCTCACATTAATCTTAACACAAGTTAAAGTTTTTTTTTTTTTTACTTAACACACCAGCCAGCAATGAAACCCCTAAGCCTTTACCAAAACCCAAAACCAAGATTGTAGACCCTGCCTCCAATTATAACCCATGGACTTCGAAACTCATCAAACTCAGGATTAACCAAACCTTTCGGCGCAAACCTTAAAGACATTCTCAGTCGATGCTTAATGTTAAGTTTATTAAACAGTCTCTCAGGTTTAAAAACAGTCTAACGGACTCATGTGGTGGTATAAAGAGCTTTATCACCAATCTTTCATTTATAACCATTATATTTCAGGTGTAACGTTGTAATCCTTTATGAACTTTCAAGGTGTAAACTCAGCCTCACCTCCACATCTGGATGTTATTTTATTGATGAGTGGGTTGATGTTGGGGTTAAGCTATTAAAGGGGGGTTAAGGTTGGAATTATACTTCCCTGCATGCTAAACTTGATATAAGACGACAAGATTACTTAGTATATTGATGTTGCAGGTACTGTTGTGTCTTGTACTGAGGGGAACTTCTAAGGATCAGGTTCTTGTTTGTTACATTGCAGGAGTTGATGGTGCTGTGATGTAAGTGCTTGTACAGTGAGAGTCGTCATGAGTCGGCTCCATAGTCTGCCCTGTGAGCTCTGGGCATTTTTATATCATAATTTGATGAGATCCTTATTGCTGTAGAGAGTGGCTGCAATTTACTTTATGAACAGCTGATTGTTTGGAAAGTAAATCCATAATGTAAATTTAAAAAAGGCTTAGTTATCAGTATAATGAAACCACTGAGGCTGATTTTACCAAAGAGATCATCCTACGCGACTGTACCCAGTCAATCTCATCCAGTGACCTGGGTCCTCTCATTTGAAAGTACCCAAGGTCAATGTACACTACAGGCCAAGTTTCGAAACAAGATCAGATTTGTACAAAAAAAGATCATAGTTTCATATATATAATTTGCAACACAATAAACATGGCTATTGTGTAAAGAGTAACTTATCAGAAGACATTTTGACTATAATTATTAGGTATTTGAGTTATTGTTGCTTAGACTTTGCTTCCTTTAAAGTAACCTCCTCTGGCTTTAACAACAGCTTGGCATATACCAGACATTAGTTCCACAAGTTTTCTAAGGTACGTTCCAGGGATTGTATTCCAAGCTTTCTTAAGTTCATTAAAAAGAGACTGCTGATTCGTGGGATGCGTTTTTCTGACTGATGGATCCAATTCATCCCGCACAAGCTCAATTGGAGAAAGGTCTGGAGACTGAGGGGGCCAAACCATCTTTTGAAGAACACCTTCCTCTTCTTTTTTGTCTAGGTAACCCTGACAGAGCTTGGCAGAGTGCTTAGGGTCATTGTCTTGCTGAAAAATAAACTTATGACCAACAAGTTTGAGTCCAGATGGAACAGCATGATATTGGAGGATGGAGTGGTACTGTTCCTTCTTCATAATACCCTTTACTTCAAACGAATCTTCTACTCTATCACCTGCAAAACGTCCCCATACCATACTACCGCCTCCTTGCTTAATGGTGGGTGTAACACATGATGCTTTCAGACGTTCACCGGTTTGTCTGTGGACATAGACTCTGCATTTTGAACCTAACAGTTCAAACTTTCTTTCATCAGTCCAGAGAACTTGTTTCCAGTCATCATAGGTCCAATTTTTGTGAGCTTTTGCCCACTCATATCTCTTTTTCTTGTTCTGTGGACAAAGTAGTGTTTTTTTTGCAGATACACAACCCTTCAGACCAGCCTTTCTCAAACATCATTTCACGGTTGTAAGAGATATGGGTTTCGACCTTATCATGTTTATTTTCTCCCTTAATTGTGGTGCTGTCTTTCGCCGATCTCTCTTACTGGTGACAATGATATGTTTATCCTCTACTTCATCTAGGCCTTTTTCAATCATCATAACTTCCAGGTTCCTCTAGTCTCTTCAGAGTGCAGTGGACTCCTTTGTTAGACACCTTGAGGCGTTTTGCAATTTCTCTTTCTGTGTATCCTTCTTTCCTAAATGTACAAATTTGCACTTTTGTTTCTTTACTCAGTTGCTTCTTTCTAACCATTTCTGCGGTAGTTTGAACGCAGTTGAGATTTATTAGAATTTTTGTATGCAGACTCTCAAAAGCCAAAAAGTTAAAGTGAATAATCCAACTGTGATTTGTTTTTTGTTTTTTTTGCTTTTGCACTGAAGTTGTGACTCTTGCAAATGTTTTCAACCCTGCAACTAAGCCCTTTTTTTTCCTTTTGCTGACATACATTTAGCAATGTTGTGTTCACATTAATGTATATCTAAAGGTAAATGGAGTAAAATGGTGCATTTCCATGAAAGCAACATCTGATCATGGAGTAAATACATCCCAAAATACATACAACTTATGCTGGATTTTAAAAAAAAGCATTGTGAACAAAAACTTGAAGTTACTCCCAACTGTTCAGCCTGTAATGGCCTTGCTTCCAAACCTTTGGCCTGTAGTGTAGTCTGGTCCCTCACAGATCTACCAGTTCCTAGTCTCCACCATGATGGAGTCACGGCAGCTAGAGTGTGAGCAGGTCAGAGTATTAGCTGCTTCACTCTGAGGTGCGACCCAGACAGTTTTTGTCCCCTTTGGAGGTGATCAAGAGCTAATGTAGATTAAAATAACAGACTGAGCCTCTTAATAACCCATGCCAGAATGAACAAGAATAAAGGATGGATAGCAAAGCAAGCCATCTTACCCTCTTGTGTTTTTTAAATCATGGTCATGCTGCAGCTGTGTAACCTCAACACTACACCACATTTATAATCGTAATATTCATAATAGCCTTTATGATCACAACAAAGACTGAGCTTATCAGCTGTTTCCGCAAAACAAACTGTTTCTGTTCAGCGTTCAATAAACTGATCCACTGATTCCTTTAGGAAGAGTTCCCTCTCCAAACTGATTATGAATATTTCAACCTCCAGTTATATTTTATTTATTCAACATGAAAAACTCATAAACTTCATATCTCTTGGTTTAGAGTTTTATTTTCTGTTTTATTTTTAACAGAGCACAAAGTTGTACTCATGCATTTCATATATGTCAAATGTTACTGATTAAGAGACAAATCTGGACTAAAATTTCCATCCTAAACCAATTGAGTGTCTCTGAACTCAGCAGCAGCTTTTATAAGATTCACTATCAGAGAGGCATACAATCTCCACGTCAGCATCACCCCTTACCAGGCACTCATTCTTTTAGTCTGGCTTTGTTTTCCTTCATCTCTCTATTGTTAAAGTCATTGTGGACAGAGATCCAGAAAGCCTTTCAGGACATTCAGCACGTGATGCCTCTCAAACAATAGAGCCACTGAACAAAGAGCCGTGTCAGCTGTAAACGCAGAGCTGTCGGGATGTTATTTTACAGCCAGAACAAAAACACTCAAGCTGATTGAAAACAAGAAACCCTCTGTGTTTTGAAACCACCCTTACCCATTTCACATACTGTATATATATATATATATATATCATATCATATATATTTTCAGCCTTTGATTGTGTATGAAGCAACGTCAACAAAAACAACTTCTTACAAAATCACGATCTCAGCCTCACTTCAAAATAAAAAATAACCTCATCTCAAAAACCTCTTCAAGATAAAATAACCTTATCCCGACAAAAATGAAAACCTTATCTCAACAAAAGCAATAACTGAAATCATGCTCGTCCTTTCAGTGACAATCTTTTCAGTCTCTGCTGGAGCTCTCAGTTTGATGGATTAAACAGGAACTCGCTGTCTAACAGCAAAGACGATACCCTGAGGTCGAAACCAACCCCAACAAGGCTGACCCTGACCGCAGTAAAACAATACATGACAGCATGCAGAGCCTTCAGCACTCCAAATTAGATCTCACTAGCTCATAACAAACCAAGAATAGAACCTAAACTTTAGACTCAAGCAAGAATCCAAACCAGAATTAAATTTAAGACTAAGGGCTCTATTTTCGTGCGTCGCCGGAGACGTGCCGGAGACGTGCCGCAGGCTCGACAGAAGTCAGGTCCGCCATGCCGACAAGGCGTTCCCAAACACAATTTGGTATTTTGGTGAGAGGCGCAGCCCGGCGTAAGTATCCTTCCTCCCTAACTCAGCTCCTCCCAGCGGCGTAAGTCATAGTGAGGGAGGAGAGAGGGCGTAGAGTGGGTTTTACACAGCCGAGACCTGTTTTCACCAATCACATAAGCTCCTCTCCTTGCCTTTAAATCCGCCACCGGCGAGGCTTATTACAAATTTCGTGAAGTAGTCAAAGAGATCAAGAGATGTCTTAAGACAGCAATGCCACACGATGGAGACAGAAGGCAGCTCCTCAACAAGTGTCACTGTAAGCGCTGCATTGGGTGTCCTCCACACTCTCTCATATGAGCACAGATGGATTTGGTGTGTGTAATGTTGGACCCACTGGTAAGACAAACACCCTTTTCCACTAATTAAGACACTCACATAAAGTTGCATATATTCAAACCTCACGTGACAAAGGTGGGTTGAGCGCACAGATCACAACATAAACTCCAAAAATGGCATTCAAATCGGAACCATATGTGTGTAAATGACGCATCGCGCTCCGTGGCCTGGCTCTATCTTTCATAGATGTTGGCATATAAAATAAATTTGGCTCACAAAACTGATAATTATAATATCCGTATGTAGGCTTAAAGTAAATAACTCATCTGAGCCAGTGGCGGCTGCTGGTCTTTCAAGGGGGGGAAGCTTATTTTTCTGGCCTACATCATAATTGTGTTTGTTT